AAATGGAATCAGAATTTTACAATATAATTTCCCAATACAATATCAATTACCGCTCAACAAAAGGAACACCTTGAAGAAATTACTAAGAATCAGTCATTGCCCATTTCTTGGCATGAGCAGAGATGTGGTCGACTAACTGTCTCTGTTATTAATGATGTTTTGAAAGCATGTGTTGAAAATTCACCAAAATTTTTGGTTAGAAAACTTATAAAATCAAACTTTTGCCAAAACAATGCACCTTCATTATTATGGGGAAGAGAAAAAGAAGAATTTGCTTTGGCTGAGTATGTAAATGTCTGCTCTGATGACTTATACATAAGTGAATCACTTTGTCTTTCACTGATCACGATTCATAATGATTTTGAAGTAAAAAATTTTGGACTTGTTGTTTGTCGAGAAAAGCCATGGTTGGGTGTGTCTCCTGATGGTGTTGTACATTGTTCATGTTGTGGGTATGGAGTCATTGAGGTGAAATGTCCATACAGTCTTAAAGATATTGGATTAGCTTCATCAACAGACAATGAAAATTTTTATGTAAAAAAATACAATAGTAGCTTTAAATTAGAAAAAACCCATCCATACTTCAGTCAGGTACAACTTTAAGTATTCATATTGGAAATGTGTTATTGTGATTTTGTTGTCTGGACTCTAATTAATTTTTTATTTTTTCGAATTGAACAGGATCTTAATTTTATTAATGAGATGATTGTATATAGTACAAAGTTTTGGAAGCATGTGATCTTACCAGAACTAATGACAAAGAAGTTAAAAATCACAGATAAAACTGATGAACGACATCACATAGAAATCACAGATAAAACTCTTCAACTAGATCAAGAGGAAAGAGTGATTTGCATTTGAAAAACTACTAAGAGTGATGGTCATATGATCAGTTGTGATCGTTGTGATTAATGGTCTCATCCAATTTGCCTTAAATTGAAAAAAATTACCAAAGACAAATGTCTGGTATTGTCCGCCCTGTCGATAGAACAAATGACATTTTATTTCGCATTTACATTTTGATGTTGTCAATAATAATGAGAAGTTATTTATATATATAATGATATGATAAAAGTTAAAATAGATTTATTTAAAATATTAAAAAAATTATTATTACAATGTTATAAAATATAATCTAGTTATAGTTTCTCATGTTGTTTGTTAAGTGGATCTTTATTTTAAGTTATATTTGATATACTTGGTAAAAATATATTTGATAGATTATACAATTTCCATATAAATACAGTTTTAGGATAATTCCATGACCCAGGTCATGTCTCCATAAATACAAATTTAGGATAATTCAATTGACCCAGGCCATGTCTTCATATATCTCAGATTTTGCTGATTTTTATACAGATAAGAGTACTTAGTAAAATAAGAAATCCTTAAAAATTTTAGATTCTAGCTCCGAAAAGATCGTGAAATATAATTATTTTATTTTTAACTTTAGATCTTGACCAGGCCCCTGTTGTCCCTATAGAATTGTGACGTTTTTTTAAAGGTTACAAGTCACATAGCTTTGCCAATATTTAATCTATTAACTTAAAAATTTTTAAGTAAAAAAAAATATTTTACTTAAAAATTTGAACCTGGCTATTTTCTGGAGTGAAGAATCTAATGAAATAATCAGAAATGTAAAAAAAATATTAAGTACCTGCAATTATTAATCTAAATAAATTTAAGCAATTTTTTATATACCTGATTTTGATGATCCCGAAACCCGTATTTTGATGATATCCCCTAAAATGCCTTGATGATATCTCCTAAAAAGCCTTGATGATATCCCCTAAAAAATTACGCATCATTCTACATTCAATAACATTTCAGAAAAAATAAAGATTTTGATCTGCAAGTATATGGGTTTCCATATATGGACAACGGAGCACGGGCCCCACTTTATTGTAGCAGATTTTATTTTGTTTAATATTAAGGCAAACGCAGTGCCGTGGCTAGAGCCGGAGGTCTCTCCGAAAACCCTGTTAGGACCCAAACTAATTACCACTTACCACATGTTAAAAACACTTAGGGTGAAAATGAAATTTCGGGTTGGGAAATATGGCCCAGATAATTTAAACTTGGTAAATATTTTTTTACCGAATCTAAATAACTAGGTACTATTATTGTATAGTAATATTATAAATATATCGTACATTTGTTGTCATTTTTTGTCTTCAGATATTATACATCTGGAGACAAAATTATATTTAATGAAAAATTATATTTTAATATTATAAACAATATTATTTATAATATTCGGGCCTTAAAAAACGACACTTCTTGAGTGTCATTAAACGGAATTGCGTATAATTACCCAAACGTACAAACAAAATTTCCCTGTCATAAATTTTGTTTGTACGTTCGACGTAACGACTTTTAAACAAGTTAAAAAAATATTAACGTAAAAAATGTAGACGTTTATCCTACTTCCATTAGGATGCATTAATAGCTTAAATAAGTTTTATATAAAAGCAAGGAGTACTATGTCAGTACAACGGCTAGGGAAAATAAAGTCTTCTCCAAAAAACCTGTCATAAGAACCTAAATCCTCCAATTATTAAGTGTCACTAAAAAAATAAAGCACATCCTCGAAAGCCGGCTCTGTATCGATGTTATGGCAATTTAACACAATTTTTTAGCAATTTTATCAATTCAAACTAAATTTTGAGATGGTTCAAGTTAAACTAAACTAGTTCTACAGCCACAACAAAAAACACTAAAATATAATGTATATTGTAATATATTAGTAACAAATTTTAGAAAAGTAAAGCACTAAGGGACCGTCCATAAATTTCGTAACGCGAAATTTAACTAATAGACAAAAGAAAAAGTATTAAAAGTCTTTCCTCGCAAAGTCTCTAATTAAACCATGTATAAACAACCCTTCAAGTTCAGCGAAAGCCGCCGTTCAATAGAGCAAAATGTTCTCCTACTTATATTTTTTAAACAAGCTTTGTGCTGCGTAATTTATGGAGGATCCCTAAGTTAATAATAACAAAGTATTAATATGATCATCTTATAAGATCTTTTATTTGTTACAAAAAAATTACATGCTAGCGAAACACAATGCTTTCTCCTAAGTTCACTAAAGCAGCACACACTACAACAATTTTATCACAGCTTGCACGCTTTGAATTAGTTGCTTCATCCTCCAGTCTTTTCACTGTTCTTATCGGTAAGATTCCTTTTAAAATTGTATGACGATTTTTCAATAATCTTTATAATCTTTCGATATGAATTCTTAAAGATGCAATTTTCCTGGTAGATTCAACATCATCAGCTGATAGCTGTGTCTTGTTTTTTGAAAAATGCAGGAACCAACAGCTCCGAACTGGAAGAAGTGGCAAAATCATCTTTTAATGTGAAACCATGATCAGCCGAAATTTGTTCTCCAGGGTAATGGTATTTTGATGATATAAAGTTTGATTCCCTAAAAATGTCGGAAGCACAACCACCCCAACATTTAAAAACAAAATTAATAGCACCAAGCGGTGTACAAGAAAAAAATACCTTCAATGTGCAATGCTTTTTGTAATAACTATAACATTGTGCTTTTGCCAATAATATACCAGGTGCCTCAATAAACACTTCAAAACAATCTATTATGCACGTAAGACGGGTACTTTGACTTAAATATTTCTGGTAATGTTTCAAAAATGTGCTTTCGAGCTGGCATTTTAATAAAGAATTTCAATTTTTCAGACATTAGGTCCACCCATTTCCAAAAATACTCAATAGCAGTTTTAATTATGGAGCATAATTGGGCTAATATGTCGAAACTCAAATTGTGCTTCAATTTAACAATTGTTAGAATTATTTGATCCTCGATTATATTTCGTTATATATTTTATATTTCGTGTTTGTCTACTTCGAGTTTGTTCTCCTATACAAAAGAACTCTATAAGTGCTGTTAACATAGCATATTTTAACCCAGTTAACATCAAGCGATTTTCAGGATTTTTACTTATAACTTGAAATGAATACGGAGACAAATACACAGGCAACAGTAATCTTTCTAATATTTTTCTCTTTCAGACCGTAAATTATCCATTTCACTATATATACTTTCTCGTTCAAATGTACTGATGGGAGTCTTCATGGCACTGATTGGTAAAAATAAAGATTTTTGCTCTTTCATACTAGAGCATTCTGCTTTGTCAGCCAGATCATGCTGTACAATAAAGTCAATGTTTTCAACTTCAGTTGACGGCAAATCGAGTTGACTAGCAGATATATGGTTGGCTGAAAAAATGAAGGTAAAAGAATGTGAATATATATATATATATATATATATATATATATATATATATATATATATACATATAATATATATATATATATATATATATATATATATATATATATATATATATATATATATATATATATATATATATATATGTATATGTATATATATATATATATATATATATATATATATATATATATATATATATATATATATATATATATATATATATATATATATATATATATATATATATATATATATATATATATATATATATTATATATATATATTAGGGGGAGTCAAAAAAAGTAAATTTTCAAAACAAAAAAACCATACCCCCTAAATTTGGGGCAAATATCTTGAAAATAAGCCTCAAAAAGTTTGAGCGCTCCCAGACCACTTTTGACCCCCCCCTCAAGCCCAAAATTTAGGAAAAAAAGGACCGAAAAGTGGCCATTTTTGGGCGTCATGAGGGAGGGGTTATATATATTTTTTTTAATTTTTTTTTTTTTTACTTACTATATAAAGGCCTATATTTTAGTTTAAAACTGTATGGTTTTTTTATTAACCCTTCACAATTGATGTTTGGTGGTAATGAAAATCGTAAAAATTAGTAATTTTTTGCATTTTCATCTTTTACCCCTATTGTTTCTTTATATTTTGGTACAACTTCTAAAAAATTTAAATTTTTTATTTTTCTAATAATTTTAGATTAGTACATAAAATAAATATATTAGAAATAAGTGAAGCTAAACTAAGGTCAATGAAAAAAGACCATTTTATTATAAAAGAGGCGAAACCAGCTATATCAGGTAAAAACATTTTTTGTAATACTGGAATTGGTAATGAATCGTTTTTTGAGTGGTTCATTGAAAATGTAAAATCTTTTTATTTAGATATACAGCTACCAACGGGCTTGGATATTCTTCAACACTTAATATATAACCAACAATGTCAATCTGCATCAGTATCTAATATAATTGCTTGTCCTCTTAAAAAAAATTTTTCAAGATGTTCAGATAGTTGCTGTGAATGTATTTTATCTAAAATCAAGAGATCCTGGATTAAAGCTGGATTTGATGTGTTAACTGATTTAGTTTTAGTTAAGAAACATTTTAATTTGCACAAGTCTTATTCCAACTTAAAAAAAAATGCAAAACGAGGAACTAGTGGTGATTTGGCTAAACAAAACGAATTTGAGATTGAAATAAAAAAACTATTTTGGGCTGGTAATTCTAATCTTAAAAACATCATCAGTCAAGATAAAAAAAGATCCCTTAGAGACAAGATTGAAGATTTAAAATTTCTTGAAGATCAGGAAGGTCAAAGAAAGTTTGTTATTGGTTCAGAAGATATTAAGTATAGAAAAAAGGTATTCAACACTTTTAGTTAACTACTTAAGCTTTAGTTTTATTACTTTATTCTCTTTTCCACTAATTCTAAAATTGAAAACTAATACTAAAACATTTCTATAAACTAGGCAAAAGAAAGTATAAGGAAGAAAAATTGTTTACAGCCTATTAGTTTTGGAGATGATCTACCCAACGTTGAAGTTATAGACACAGATCCAAGTGAGGATTCTTCAATTGAATCTGATTTTGATCCAGGCGATTGGTATCATATAGAAGTTTCTGAAAACCCAGACACAGTAATTGCAAAAATTCCGAAAGATATTTTTGCTGGTAATGTTTCTCTTACTGCAACAGCCTGTGATATATCACCAAATGTTTTACAGAAAGTAACAAATGCAATTCTATATCAATCAGGTGTTGACCTCAAAGAAGTTAAAAGCAGTCAGTCTACCGCATATAGAAAAATGAAAAAAGAAAACAAACACATATCAACCATTGCAAAAGAAGATGTTAAAGTAGCCATTGATGCATCTCCATATCCATGTATAATTCATTTTGATGGCAAGACATTGTTTGAACTGAACAAAAGGAAAATATTAAAGAGGGATAGAATGGCAGTTTTAGTTAACATTAATGGAGATTCTTACCTACTTTGGAGTACCTCCACTGTTATCATCCACCGGTGAAGATCAGTTTTGTGGTATAATAGATTTAATTAAAGAATATCAACTTACATCAAAAACTCGAGGAATATGCTTCGATACAACATCATCCAATACTGGGACAAATAAAGGATCTGTTTCAAGAATATCTAAAGAAATGGATAAATATCTCCTCCAAATAGCCTGTAGACATCATGTGAACAAACTAAGAATGCTTCACTTTTGGAAATTAGTGACCAATGATAAAACGAATTGACCTGATAATCCTCTTTTCAAAAAATTAAAATATATTTTTGAAGAACCTAATTTTAGTTATAATCCAATTCAACTCTTACGGTTCGATTGGAATAACGTTAAAAGCAATCTTTTAAAGAAGGAAGCAGAGAATTCATTAATCTTTTGCAGAGCTTACATTGGTAAACCAGGTATTAAAAGAGATGATAGAAGTGAGCTTGCTGAATTAGTTGTCACCTACTTATCCTCTGTTACCTATAAATTAAGAAAAACAGGTGCTATTCATCATGCAAGATTTTTAGGAAAAGCAATTTATTATCTAAAACTTCAACTTCTATCCAACCAACTTACATTTGTTCTAGAAAACGATAAATTAAAAACTGAAATTAGGCTTATTACAGAATTTATTATATGCTTTTATGCAAAATGGTATTTACAATCTGAGGATGTCATCAAAGCTCCTTTTCTTGATATTACAGCCATACATCAAATGCATCTGTACAAGAAGGTATGCTGTTGATGCTGTATTGGAATCTCAGTATAAACATTGTTGGTATTTGGACTCAACAATGATACCTCTAGCTTTGCTAGATGATGATGTAACATTAGAGGAGAAGACAAAAATTGCATCAGTAATTCTTTTATTTGACATGCCTAGTTCTGACTATTATAAGCCTGAGAACAAAGAAAAACAAGATATCAAAAAAATTTATAAAATGAATAAAAATATTGAAAAAAAACCACCATCCTTGTCTGTCTTAGTTGATGACTTTTCTTACCTGATTTTTGATATGATTGGTCTTGATAAGCAACGAGTTAAAGACTGGCTCTCACTTCCGCCAAAATATTGGCATACCCAATCTTGCTTTAAAAGTTTTCAAAAATATGCAGAAACTTTGATTTTTGTAAATGACCATTCAGAACGGTCTATAGGTATGATGGCGCAGTATATTCAAAGATATTCGAATGAAACTGAAAAACAAAACCGATTGCTCACTGTAGACAAAGTTCGATCTGTATTCAGATCACCAGAACAAAAATCTAGTAAAACTTCAAAGATTAAGTTAAATGATGGGTTTGGTGTGATGCAGAAAAAGATAAAGAGATAAACTAGATTAATACAAATGTATTAAGTTTTTATCTGTCATAATATTTTAAATATACAATTTTTTTTTATTTATTTCAATAAAGATAAATAGCGGTTTTTTCAATGCATACAAATGGTTGCCCCTTGTTCATGTTTCGGAATAAAATAGAGGGGTTCTTTTGTGTTTATATACACAGGGCTTAATTATTTAATTAGGGTTATTATATTGTTACTTACTTAGAGTAAATATTCATATATATATATATATATATATATATATATATATATATATATATATATATATATGTATATATATATATATATATATATATATATATATATATATATATATATATATATATACATATATATATATATATATATATATATATATATATATATATATATATATATATATATATATATATATATATATATATATATATATATATATATATATATATATATATATATATATATATATATATATAACTTTACTCCCCCCCCCCCCAATTAAATACAAATTTTCGTGATTTTTTATACGACCAAACATAAATTTTTGAGGATTATGAAAAAAACCATAGATTTTAAAACTAAAATATAGACCTTTAAATAGTAAGTAAAAAAAAAAAAAATTAAAAAAAATATATATAACCCCTCCCTCAAGACGCCCAAAAATGGCCACTTTTCGGTCCTTTTTTCCCTAAATTTTGGGCTTGAGGGGGGGTCAAAAGTGGTCTGGGAGCGCTCAAACGTTTTGAGGCTTATTTTCAAGATATTTGCCCCAAATTTAGGGGGTATGGTTTTTTTGTTTTGAAAATTTACTTTTTTTGACTCCCCCTAATATATATATATATATATATATATATATATATATATATATATATATATATATATATATATATATATATATATATATATATATATATATATATATACATACATATATATATATTTTTTTTACGAATATTGTTTATTTTTTAAATATATATATATATATATAGGGGAGAACGGGGCAACATGGCGAAGGGGGCAAGATGAAGAATTGCTTTTTCTAGCCGAACCGCTCAATAATGAATAGTTTAAATAGATAGTAATGAAAACTGTCTATATTGGTCTTATTTCAAATAACATTTAGTTTTTGTAGTTATTGTCCCCGTGGATTTATTCACAAAAGTCTATTTTTACGATTTTTAAAATAATTTTTTTTTTTCAGTTTGGTCCTTATTATTTTAGGCTACGCTGCCTTTTGCATGCTGCGAAACTATTATTTGGAACAAAAAACATTTTTTAATATTATTATAGTAAATGTTTGTGCAGCTGTTGTAGAGTAATAGAGTTATTGATGGAATTAGAATAATTGTGTCAGCGGGGCAAGTTGATCGGGGCAAGATAACGAGTCTGCCATCTTGCCCCGTCATATTTTGTTAAATTGAAATATCTAAACCGAGTAATACGACATCTTTTTTTTCATAAAAAGAAACTATATAAATTAAAACACAAACTGTATATATATATATATATATATATATATATATATATATATATATATATATATGTATATATATTTGTATATATGTATATATATTTTTTGTATACATGTTTGTAGGTATCTGTGTGTAAAGTTAAATTAATAGATTAGTGTATATATTTTTTTCTGTGTGTTATATATATATATATATATATATATATATATATATATATATATATATATATATATATATATATATATATATATATATATATATATATATATAACTCTTTATTTGTTGTTTAAGAAATGGTTCGAACATACGTAAGAAAAACTACTAGAGGTGTTAATGATAATTAGACCAGTGAAACTCTATGTTTAGCATTTGAAGCTGTGCAAAAAAACAGTAGTAGTATAAATCAAGCATCAACGAATTTTGGAATTCCTGAGTCCACACTTCGTCGTTATATATGCAAGTCTCCAGAAAATTATCCAGTCAATAATGGAAGATTCCGCAAAGTATTTTCTGATGAAATGGAAAAATCTTTGATTGACTACATTGTTCACCTCAGTATGTGTTACTACGGATTTACAGCTCTGCAGCTTAGACAGTTAGCTTATGAGTTTGCTGAACGAAACAACTTGCCTCACTGTTTTGATCAGAATACAAAACTTGCAGGTAAAGATTGGCTTGCAAGTTTTATGAAACGAAACAGTCAGATATCACAAAGGGTACCAGAGAAGACATCACTTGCTAGAATGCAGGGGTTTAATGAGACTCAGGTTATGAAGTTTTTTGATCTTCTTCATAAATTGCTGCTTAAGCATAAGTTTTCAGCCGGTAGAATGTACAATGTAGATGAAATAAGTGTGGCCACTGTACCAACAAAGCTTCCAAAAATACTCTGCAAAAAAGGGGTAAAAAGAGTAGCTAAAGTTGTAAGTGCAGAAAGAGGAAAAACTGTAACTTTAGTGTGCAGTATGAATGCAATCGGTAATTATGTTCCTCCTGCATTTATATTTCCACGTAAAAAAATGCGCTATGAGTTCCTGGATGATGCTCCATCAGATTCATTAGGTTTGGCTAACAAATCAGGATGGATGACACAAGAACTTTTTCCAGAGTATCTGAAGCATTTTTCCAAACAAACAAGACCAACCCAAAATGATCCAGTGTTATTGATTCTAGACAATCATTCATCACATCTTAGTTTGGCTGCCATAGATTACTGCCTTCAATCTAATTTAGTCGTGCTAACACTTCCACCGCATGGGAGTCACAGGATGCAACCTTTGGATGTCACTTTTTTTGGACCCTTTAAAACATATTTTTCTAAATCAAGTGACAATTGGATGACAAGTCATCCAGGCAGAGCAATTACAGAGGCTCAAATTGGCAAATTAGTTAAAGATGCTTTTGATAGAGCTGCTACAGCAGGAATAGCTACAAAGGGTTTTTTAGAAACTGGAATTTGGCCTTTCAATCAAAATATATTTACTGCTGCAGATTTTGCTCCATCTTTGACCAGTGATCGCTCACCTCAGTCAACCCTGCAAATTCAATCGGATTCTCAAATATCTGAAACATCTGGGCTAGTTCAATCTAGCATGCATGTTGAACAACCATTAGAAATAGATTCTGAATCTCTTATGACATTGACATCAGACCCAGATCAGCATTTGTTGCAGGTCATGGAACCATCAACAACATTTGTCACACCTGTAGTTATAAAACCAATCCCTGTTTCACATCGAGTTCAACAGCTGTCTTGTCGTAAACGAGTGTCACAAGGTTCTGTAGTTGCTACAAATTCTCCATTTAAAAATCAAGTTAAATTAAAAGAAAGTGTGAAGAAAGCACAGGTTGATAAAAAAAATGAAAAAGCAAAAAAAAAATTGTCGAAGAAAGTGGAATTGGGGCTATCTGGTGAAAAAAAGCTGCTTTACTAACAAAGAAATCTAAAAGATTTACAGAAGGCAATACATTGGAGAAAAATAAGCCTCAGTCAAATGAAGCACCATGTATACTTGACAGTGGAAAGCAATTCAACAAAGAGCTTAACCAAACTGAAGATGAATCACCATGTTTGTGTAGTTATTGTGGATATGTTTTTGGAGATGAAATGGATCCATTATTTGAAGACGACTGGCTAAGCTGTAAAAAATGTTATAACTGGGCTCATGAAAGTTGCGGTACTGTCATTGGCAGTTTTACTTGTTATGGCTGCCAATCGGAAAATCTTCAAAGTAATACAAAAAGCAAAAGGAAATAGAAATATAAAAGACTTTTAAGTTTCCTGTTGATGTGGGACAAAAAAATATGTATTTTATAAATTTTTTGTTATTAAATTTGTATTACTGGTATCGAGTGTGTTTTATTTCGCATTGTGTTATAGTTTTAAGA